CTGGGCCTATCGAAGATTTGATACTGAGAAATGCATGGCCATGCTCAAACGAGGTGAATGTCAGTCGTTTGTTTAATCAGTATAAATCAGAGTTCGATAAACATGATCTAGCTTAATAAGGATGACACTAGTTCTTGCCTTATACTGAGATCGAGATATAGAGACAAAGGGATTATGAGAATAGATGATTCTAGTACAAGTGGGAGATTGTTGGGAATGTCCTAAAATCATTTGTACTTACTCTAGTTAAAGTCGTAACGTCGAGGTTCGGCAATCATATAAAATTAGGTGGTTATAAGGTTTTGCTAGAAACCGCTTATAATCTATGAATTGAGAATTCATTACTAATATTATATGATCCTATAGGGTCACACACCTAAGCAAACTGGATCAGTGATATATTGGGTTACATGATATATTTATATGTGTTATATATGATATAAGTGCATATGTATATTTATATGTATAAACTCGTGAGGTATATGATTATTATTGTTAAGTGGGCCTTGCCCAACAAACTAGTAACGTGAATTAACTCACGTGTATTAGGTCTAAGAAGAATTGTCTTATATAAGACAATGTGACTTTAATAATCATATGAGGAGACTTGCGACGGCAAATCCTAAAACAAAAAAGGACGAATAGTTCGTTAAGGTTCTGAGATTTGATCTCGACGGCACTAGCATCCCGTATCGATCCAGTTTGTGTGCGTGTGGATACCGGTAGAGGCACGACGTTTGGAGTGCTTGAAATCTCGACTTGGTTCATTCATCCTTCCACTGCAGAATAACCAGGTATATTCGAAGAACCTAAAGATCTAGATTATTTCAGTATTGGCATGAGATTCTAGGCAAATAGAATTCATAAGTTGATTTATAAATCGTTATAAACTGATATGAATTCTTACAGGTACAAGTAAGTACTTGGGATGGCGACCGGACTCAAAACTAGACGGATGATGCCGGAGGTTCTTGTACTCCCATCGGTGAATCCACTGAAAGAACAAGTTTGGAAAGTCTTGACAGTTCCTAAAATCAAGGTTTTCTTATGGAAAGCTTTAAGCGAAGCGTTACTGGTCTCCCTCCTCTTTGAGAGAAGAGGTATGAAAGTTGACGTTAGATGCCACGCTTGTGAGGTTGAAGGAGAAGATATCAACCATGTGCTGTTTGCGTGTCCTATTGCTCGCCAAGTATGGGCGTTATCAGATATACCTTTCCCACAATTTGGCTTCCATCAATCTTCTGTTTTCGAGAATTTTAATTTCTTACTTGGAATTAAAAACTCAAGGCGTGGAGTTCCGGAGGCGATTCGCGCTTGGCCATGGATCTTGTGGTCCCTATGGAAAAACAGAAACGGTTTCTTATTTGAGGGGAAACAATGGAATGCTTTAGAAATTGCTTCTAAAGTAAAGAGGGATGTAGATGAATGGTTCTTAGCGCAGGTTGTTGAGGAAGAGATGCAACATGCAGAGAAGGAGGTGAAATGCTACAACAAACCTAAATGGAAACCCCCTCCACAAGATTGGCTTATGTGCAATATTGGCTTTGATTGGCACAAAAAGAATGGGTCTTTGGGGGCAGCTTGGGTGGTGAGAAACCACAGAGGTGTTGTTGTTTGTCACAGTAGAAGAGCCTTTGCAGGGATCAGAACTAAGGACGAGGCAAATTGCAAGCGTTCCTTTGGTCGGCGGAGAGCATGTATAGTTTGAAATTCAATAAAATCATCTTTGCCGGGGAGTATGATGAGTTCTTTGGAGCTGTTTTAAGGCCTTTTGCGTGGCCTTCTTTTGCCTATCAAGGGGAGGAAGTGAAAAGGAGCCTTTCAGGGATTAGAGAGTGGAGATTACTGGTTGTTCCTAGAGAGGCAAACAGAGGGACGGCTTTCATCGCTAACAGTGTCAATGAGAACGGCCTGGTACAGTCTTATGTAGCGTCCGGTCATCCTCAGTGGCTGTTTGAGTTCTTTGTGAATGAAAGCCGGTCCCTCTAACTTGCCTATGGGGATTGGAATACAAGAAGATGTTTGTTTTGCAGAGATGGGCGGTTTCATCGTATGGGATTGGTTACTATCTCTTCATCAACTTTCTTGTGGTGCAAGATGTTTGTTTTATCTAATTGTATTAGATCGGCTGGATTGTAATGTGTACTGGATCTTTTAAAATATCAATGAAAACTTATGATGGAAAAAAAAAAACTGAAATTGTTTGTGTCGTCAAGACTTTATTTTCTTACATTCGTTCATCTTTCAAAATGTGTACAGTGTCTCAAATTAAACCACCGTTGTTTCATTCTTTTTTATAGGGGGGGGGGTCAATTTTTCAAATTGTAGGAGAATACATGATCAAAACAATCTGATAGTTAAGGTGATTCAATGCAACAACAATGACACGAATATCAAAGGTTAAGAACGCCGATAGTACCACTATCTCTATGCCCAACTATAAAGTGATAACAGGAATCCTTAAGAAGATAATCAGAAACATCATTCGAGATATAGTTCACTTAGAGCAGCAGCATCAGCGAATTTTGTGCCAGGTTCGCCACGTGTCCTTTTTCAAATTTTTATTTTATTTTTTTTGTTAACTTTTTCTTAAAAAAAAAAAAAAATTAGATCTATCGCGGGTCGCCACGTGGCGTGGAGCCCGCAGAACAGTCATGAACTCGCCTCTTGCCCCTAACTCCCCACGACCCTTTTTTTATTGGTTTCTGTAAAAAAACCCCATTGAACCTTCAATGGGGGTGCTCTTAAACCCGGTGGGATTCGTACACGGTAGATTACACGGTTAAGAACGCCGATAGTACATTTTGTTTTTCGTCCCGTTTCTAATTTTGATATTTCTCCCTTTTACTCCAGAAATTACCAATCAAAGTCTAAATAAGTGTTGTAGCAAATGGAAACTCAAAGTTAAGGAATCAACAAAGGTCTCTCATTTGTTTTAAGCGTCATAAAAAAGAACAAACATTTACATATTGCGAACCAGAAAAATCCTCGCCATTCTCTCGCTCTCTCCAAGTGAACCAAAGAACATTTCCGTCACTAACCTAACTCAGCAATACAGACCTAAGAAAAGACGGTTACAAAAATAACAAAACAAAGAGACATTGATCGATCACAAGACTCCTCCAGCTCATCTTACTGAGCCATGTTTCTGACGGGAGAACAATCCTTGTCTGCTTTTCATCCCTTTCTTTTTGTTACATGGCAACTGTTCTTCGTGATGAGCTTTTTGACCTGTAATATCATCCCCAGTTTTTGGTCTTGTCAATTCTCTAGAAACACAAGGGTAGAGAGAAACACATTGGAAACAGTTATTTTTCAGCTAAAGCTTTTCAAGTTTTATCATATGATTTATTCATTATCTTCTTACCTTCACTCTTTTAATCACGGTTCAGATCAACTGATAGTTTGGGACTTCTTGTCTGATTTTCAGGTGACTCGTGCTGTTCTTCTCTTGTGCCACCGCTAAGGCTTTGTGAGTATGAGTTCGTCACTGGCTGAGTATGATTCAGATACATCTCCAAGCTAGATGATGCAACCCCTGGTGCCTTTTTGGTCTTAAACAATCTTCTGTTCAGTAAACAAAAAAAAAAACGCATATCAGTATTCAGTGATTTGGAATAAGCCTATGAGTATTTTGAGTATTGTTTCTTTCTAAAGTACCTATCCTTCTTTTCAAGATATCTTTGCAACGACACTTTTCTACCCTCCGCATCTTCATAAAGACCAACAAACACACACAAGCACGACCATTAACATTAACAAACAAAATTTAGTGTGTCTGCAGAACAAGCAAGTCAAGTTTATGAGTCAAAGATGTGATCTCGGATATATAAAGATAATGTTGGAACACTGTCCGTACCAGAATCACGAGAAGCATTTGCCTTTTCAAGGCCATAGTGGGATGGTTCAACCATCTTCTCTGCAAAAAGAAATCACAATATCATTTAATTCAAACTCATTAGGAACCTGGCACAACTAAAAGAAGCAACATATACTCCATCTGTTATAAAAGCGGAAGATGCAGGTCAATTCACTTTTCCATTTTTGATAATATACTTAAAGAAACAAAATCATTTCAAGTTTGAAGCATCTATCTATCAACTGAGAAAAAGCAAATCAGATACTTTGGAAAAGCTTACCTTTACTCATTGTCATGGGACTGGAAATCATTCTGGTAGAAGCAGAAACACCATGTACAGGAAAATCAATCGGACTGGCTGCAAAGTGCATGATTGACCGCGCCTGCAAAACCAATATACGGAGATGCATGATGAAAAAAAAAACATGCCATCAAGTTTAGGTAGGAGAAAAGGAATGTTACCTTATCAGGTGGTACACCATCATATACACTCACTTTCCCACTATAGAATATCGTCATTTGCCCACCCAACGCATTTGTTTCTGCTGGGCTTCTGCTAAAAAATATTACAGACAAGCATGTTTTCAACACGAGCAACAAGCACATGATATTAAAGCTTTAATACATGGAATACCCTTAAAAACTCATGTTCATACAAACAGAAATCATTGCTGAATTGACAAATCAGACGCCAAAGATGTTGAGCAATGGAGTAAGAAACTGTTTTTTTTTTGTTCCCCCATTAACTAGCAAAGTCATTTCACGAAAAACCAGAAGATGTGGAAAGAGCAATTCTAGAGATAGAGATAAAGCCTACATGATCACATACCCAAGTGGAAAGGATGTGTGTTTAAGCCTATATGACCAAATCCATAATTCACAAAGGATGTGAAATGAAGCAAATACTTGGTAAACTTGAAAAGGAATGAGAAGAAGTCAAAGATAAACCTGGGAGAGAGAATACTGTAACTGTCTTTCTCCGGTACAGAACCGCCAGAGAACTCAGCTGATCTTGGAGAGTCCCTTCTGAAGCTGGAGCCGTCATCTTCCTGAAAAGGAATCTGTGCTCCGACCTCGTTCACCTGCTCAATCGACGTTGCTGTAACCTGTGGACATACATAGAGCAATAACTTAATTTTCTAAGGTAATAAACGAGAAAAAAATGGAACAGAAAAATAGGCTCACGAGAGGCTGAGAGACGAGGATCTTGCGGAGGATGCCGGCGCCGGAGTCGTCGCCGGGCTCAAAGAGAGCTTTGAGGGATAAAACTTGCTGGATCGCCTGAGCTTTGTTCCAAGAAGGCCTGCGCATTCCTGTGTAAGACAAGTGTCAGCCGCCATTCTCTTTCTCTCAGAGGAGTGGGGGGAGAGAGAAATCGAACCTTTGTCCTTGAGGAATTTGCGGCAATCCTCGCGGGTGAGCTGAGAAATGTCGTCTTCGGTGAGGAGCTTGAGAGGCTTCGCGAGTATGTACTTGGCCGAAGACACTCCTCCTGCTGCTGCTCCTGCGTCCATCATCTCTCTCTTTCTCAGATTCCGGGGAGTGGGAGAGCTGAGTGGCGTTTTTGTAAATTATTGGGTTTAGGGTAACAAATATGTCAAGGGGAGACGAGAGTCCTATGGGCTTGATTGAATTTTGGGAGCTGGGGGAAGGGGAAGCTCCCTAGATTGCCACCTCACTTTCTTTTCTTTTCTTCCTTGTTTTCTTATTAACCTAATCATGCCTGCCTCCTACTCCTATGCTGTATACTATACTTTTTTCGCCTATGATTCTCTTGATTATCCCCCTATATATTAAAAGAAAAGTCATTTTAATGAATTTTGCTTACATGTCATAGATGCAATGTATAATTAATTCTCTTAATTTGATTGGTTGTTACCATTTAATTTTTTATTTATTTAATTAAAGTTTTTTAAAAGGAAACTTATCCTAGAATTACCAAATCTAATATATATTACCAAACAAACAATTAACCATCTTAAATACATAGGATTAATAGAATTTGTTTATAAAAACAATTAAATATCACATATTTCATTATAAAAAATTAGAATATACATATAAATACATATTATATTATAGAAATAAGTATATACATGATTTTAATTTTTCTTCTATTAATAGTGGATAAAAAATCATACATTACAGAAAACTAATAATATTTTTATAGTCACTCACTATATATATATGTATTCTTAAAATATGTTCAATGAATGCAAAACAGTTAAATGTAATTTTCTTAAAAAAAAATCTATCATTTTCTAGAGATAAATGTCGATAGTATAGTTGAGTTATCATTTTCAAAAGTTATTTAAGTACTTTTATATTTAAAACAGAAAATTATATGGTATCGCATTTTAAAAAATATGAATAAATGAAATTTTTTATTATAATATAAAATTACAAAAAAATCAAAACATTATATTAATACAAGACTAGAGTTAATATTCTATTCATATAATTCATATAGCTTTAAGTATAATAAAATTGGCATGTTTTTTTTAATAAGAAAAAAAAGAGACATAAATAAAAACATGAGTGAATAATAATAAAAACTTTTGTTGTATTCTTCGTTATTTTGTATTTGTACATACATAATTTTTTATCTGTATACCAAAATATTTTTACATATTAATATAATTGTAAAATAATTATTTTTAGGTGTTTATACAACATAAAGAAAAATTGAGCAAGGAAGATAAAGATAAATGATAAGTTATAAAATTGTTAATGTTGAAGATTCAAAATATAACACAAATTAAATTTAAAATAATGGTAAGTATTTTTTTCAGAGTAATAAACTTTTAAAATATATGATAGCAAAGTTATAACAAAATTTATACAACTAGAAACATGTTATTTTTATATATTAAAACTGTTGAATCTCATGTTTATATTATTCTATGTCTAAAATAATGACATCACATCATTTAAGAATTAAGATATTTTATGCTATATAATTATTTAATCAAATTTACTTTTTGGAAATACAGTTATTTAGATTTACTTAAAATATGTATGTAATGAAGTAATTAAAAAAAAATAAGATATTTATTTTTTTCGTAGAAAATCTTGGTCAAAGGAATCAATGTTTGATAAGATAGTGTGAAGATTGGAGATAATTTTGATAATGAATTTATTTGGTTAGCCAATTCTGATTTTATATTAAATTTAAAATAAAAAATATGTTAGAAATGGAGAACGAGAGGGAGATATGGTGATGATAAGGATTAGAGAGTCAGTTATGATCATAATGAAGATGAAAGTGAATATAAGTGAGAGACTGAATATAAGTGAGATAGATTCTGAAATCATTTATTAATACTATGTGAAAGTGTTCTGAAGATTTAACAAAATCTGGTGAAAATTTTGCACCAAAGAGAGATAGAAAGAGTTTTAAAGTGAAATATTGAGGATCATATTAAGGACGAGAGTAATAGAATGAATATATGTGATTGTGAGAGAGTGAATGTAAGTTTGAGAGATTTTGAGATTATTTGATCAACTAAGAGAGAGAGAGAGAAAGAAAAAGAGAGCGAGGGAGGTGTACAAAGACATACACAAATAATGCAAAGAGAGATACATAAGAAATAAAACGAATGTGTGAAAAATACAAGGAGAAACGAAATGAGTAAGATAGAAAAATATATTAAAAACAGAGTATCTATGTAAAAGAGAAAGAAAGTTACAATATATTTATACATTTATATTATTTTTTATTCATGCAATGTATAGATTATATTAATGTCCGCACAGGCATGCGGGCCGTCCACCTAGTTATTATTATTATATTAGTTTCTGTGCGCGGAATTCAAACAATGGTGTCAAATCTATTATATAGAAAGAGAAATCGTCAATTTTTTCATGTGTAATTTTTTAAAAATATACTTTTCCTTAAAAACAATTGTTATCTTATCTTTTGTATTTCTATAATAAAATTTTAATAACTATATCTAATTCCTATTTTTATTCTATCAATATATAAGATCCAACCATTCTACAGATACTGTAGAATGTACATATTAATGTTTATGATTTATTCATAACTTTAGCACAACATCATAACCTGACCTATTTATTCATAAACGATGTCTAATATTTAATAGTTATTATACATCAAATCTCAAGTAAAATTTGTTCAATTTATGTAAAAGTAATGTACTCTTGAAAACTTTTAAATGTACCATACATCTGTTCAATTTATTCTAACAAAATTTGTCTTACTTGACTCTTTCTGTTTATTATTGTAAAGATCACAAATATTCTGTTTATTATTGTAAAGATCACAAATATTCACTGGATTGCTTTAGAAAAATTTGGAGAAATGTACATAACATAAAAAATTATTAAGTATATACACATAATAAATTGTTGGTTATGATATATTTTGTAAATTATGTATCAATGACAAAACTGTCATGCACGTATGTTTTTAATATCTAAGTGATCTTTTTTTGATATTTTGTTTATTATTGTAAAGATCACAAATAAGACATAATTTTGTGCGCATCATATATGATTCATGTGAAGAAAAAAATAACAAAAAAAAGAATCATTGAGAAGAAACATAAACGATGACGGCTCCAAAAATGGTGATGAGCGGAGATCGGCCGTGGTTTTGTTTGTGTCACTCAAACACAACAATGATCGATACATGAGATTCATTATCAAACTTTTCATCTATTTCGATTATTGTAAAAGTGAAAACTTTGGAGAAGATGAACAATTACCATTAGGATGCATTATAGTATTTTAGGATGTAACATAGAATGGAATGTTAATATGTTTTTAAGTGTTTTTGTTAAGTTCTATATTATTAGAGAGACATTCTAGTGATTAATGTTTTGATGATTCAAATCACATGTTCTTTTACATCTTTATATTTTTATCCACTAAATTTAGCTCTTATTATGGTTGTTATGCATGTTACCATCCAAAATGTCACACTACTTTGTATTCCCCCAATTGGTTAGCCATTATGAACATACATTGATATGAAAAACCTAAATGTTTTTGTTGCTTATTCCATACTATGTTGCAGTTGTCTATAGTATAGTCGCATAATTGTTTAAATTCAATCTCGTAACTAGTTAACTCATTTGTGTAACTATACTATGTAATATTTAGTATAGTATGACATTTTTAGCTTTTGAGTGTCAACATTACAAGCACGCGTCTTGAAGGAGAATGTGGTCATATTTGTGTGTAAATTGTCACATCTACTGTAGCATGGCTATATATTTAATTTTTTTACTCTCTTATAAATATATAGCAAAATCACCCATTGCTTTACCATTACTATATGTTATCCCACTCAAAATATTCATCCGAGAGATGAACCCAAACAAAGTGTATTAAAAAAATTACAAGATGATTAACTTAACCAAATTATGTGTATGATAAGATTATTTAAATTCAATATATACTTAGGGCTTTTTGCAAAATTGACTCAAAACTCAAAGTCAAACACAAAACTAACTTCTTCTTTTGACTCATCTTGTTTTTGTCCTATTCACCCCACATCTTCATTTTATTTACGAAAATGCCATTAACTTTTTTTGTAATTTTTTTTTTGAAAATGGCCTTTTTACTCTCTCAACCTCATCATCTTCAAGTATTTACAACATTGCCATTGCCATGAATACTCCCGACAACCTTGTACAACCCAACAACCTTGTACAACCAAGGTTTGAAGCTTTTAATGCACTTAATATCGATACCCATACTCTCTTTCTCAATTGTTATGAACTAAAAACAACATCTCCTTCACTTTGTCTCCATATTCATACCAAAAACCCAAGCTTTTGATAGCAAAATTTTTATGGTTGATAGAGCCATTTAAGCATACAATTCTTGGTGTGTTACTTTCGTTTGATGTTCTGGGTGGTTGGAGAAGACTCTGTGTGCAAAGAAACTCATCTCACCTAGTTTAAGGTATGAAATTGATTTTTTTTCCAGATCTGTTCGCGTAGAAGACTTACTCGTAAGTCATCTGGATGTAGAAGACTTACGGATAAGTCTTCTGTGGTCAAACGGACGACTTACTTCTAAGTCGTCCAGCTTTGTTGTTAAAAAAAAACACCAGACGACTTATAATTAAGTATAAGTCGTCTAGATAAACCGGGCTACTTTTGCATTTGACCAAATTGTGTCAGATATTTGACTTTTTCTTGACGACTTACAATTAAGTCGTCTCTGGGAAAGTTAAAATTTCAATATTTTATTTAATCTAGACGACTTATGGATAAGTCGTCTTAGGTTAGTTTTGCAATTCAAAAATAAAACTTAAAATTTTAACTTCTCCCAGACGACTTAACTGAAAGTTGTCCGATTATACGACTTAACTGAAAGTCGTCCGATTATACGACTTATGTTAAAGTCGTCCAGGATAAGAAAAGTCGTCCAAAATATTTTCCGAGTTTTCTGGTCAAACCTTGCTTATCCTGGACGACTTTAACATAAGTCGTCTAATCGGACGACTTTCAATTAAGTCGTCTGGGAGAAGTTAAATTTTTTTTATATTTTTGAATTGCAAAACTAACCTCAGACGACTTAATTATAAGTCGTCTAGATTTAATAAAATATTGATATTTTAACTTTTCCAGAGACGACTTAATTTTAAGTCGTCCAGAAAAAGTCAAATATCTGACACAATTCGGTCAA